CCCCGCCCAGCGTGTGACGTCAATTCCGGAGACGTTCTGGCGGCGCGCGTGCGCTTCGCGCGCGCATACCCTAACAGCTCCCGGACGGGCAGGACGCTCCCCCGCCGGTGAGTTATTCGGATTTGGCAACCCTATTTCTCAGAGCTGTTCTCTCAAGAGCAGTTCTCTCATAACTCTCTAGCCCCACCTACCTCACAAGCTGCCTGTTGTGGGGAGAGAAAGGGAAGGAGACTGTAAGCTGCTCTGAGACTCCGAGTGAAGGGCAGGGTATAAATACAAGACTTCTTCTTCTATATAGACTGTTGATATCAGCAGCTAGTTTGGCGGCGGCTGCTCCACCCCAAATGTCAAGCCAGTAGCTGAGGCAACAGAAGTCTCACAACAAGGCTTGTCCCAGGCCCTGCACCTCCCCCCATATTTAATGGGTTATCTTTTAATTCTCCAGAGGAACACAGCTAGGGTTGCCTGGAGGGGAAAATGCCCTGCTCCTTTTATAGAGGCTTAATGAGATGTTATTTGCTACGTTATTTGCCTCTGTGCCGTGGAAAGTTTCAGCTGCCCATTTGCATATATTAAGCTTCTGTTAAAGAGGCAAGACTTTCTTTCCTACAGGAGGCTAGCAACCCTAAACACAGCTACAGTGTGAATGGCCCATATGCAGTAGAGGCCTGGATTGAAGCACAGGACTCACACATGTACATTCTGTCTGGACAACTGACTTGGAGAACCAGTCTGGTGTAGTGGTTAAGAGCGCGGACTCTGATCTGAGAGAACTGGATTTGATTCTCCACTCCTCCACATAAAAGCCAGCTGGGTGACCTTGGGTCAGTCACAGTTCTCTCAGAGCTGTTCTCTCACGAGCAGTTCTCTGAGAGCTCTCTCAGCCTCACCTACTTCACAGGGTGTTTGTTGTGGGGAGAGGAAGGGAAGGAGACCGTAAGCTGCTCTGAGACGCAGAGTGAAGGGCGGGGTATAAATCCAACTCTTCTTTTTCTATATAAACTGTTGATATGAATAATTATTACATAAGGAATGTTTGTAGAAGGTAATATTATAATTAGTAAGGTATTACGTTATCTTATAGATTTTGCCTCTGCAGAAGAGAACTCAATTATAGACTTAAGAGTACTACCATCAGGTACAGAATTAATATTGAGAACATCATGTTGAAATACTGGGATGATGTACCCTTAGGGCATAGCTCCTCTTGTTTTTAGATATAAATCTCTCACAATGGCCTATTATGCATGCACAGTTTACTGCAGAGAATTCAAGCGGTCAAGCCTTTAAGCTTGGCTTCGGAATCTGTGCTTGCAGGATGCACCATTTTTTCCCCTTCTGGTGTATTTATTCTGCAGCTACAAGCAAAAAGCGCAGGGCAGCCCAGCCAGTATCGCTGAGCCTGATGAGAGCCAATGGCTCCCAGCAGGCACAACTCTGTGTTGCCTTCTCCTGCTGCTCGGTTTAAACCAGGAGGCAGGAGAGGGCAGCCCAGCTTGGAGCCATTTCATTTTTTCCAGCGATCTGAGACTAGCGATAGTCTCATATTGCTAGACTCATGCCACTTGTAAAAACAAAATTTAAAATGTAGGTGGTGGAGTGGCTTTCGAGGAGTGGGGAAAGGGTGAAGGAAAATCTGAGGGAATCTTTATGCTTGTGGATTACCTTCAGCTTGGCAGTGAAGCAAGGGAAAAACCAGCACAAAAGCACGTTCAGAAAACTCGGGGAAACAGCGAATGGAAAGCTAACAGAGCGCTGAAGGGAGGAAAAACAATGCAGAATGAAAAAGGAAAACCCAGCTGACATACATGGTGAAAGCGAGGCAAAACACCCATGCATAATAGGCCCATGTTTCAGTAGTTAACTGCAGATTTACATGTTCCCAAAAGCACAACAGGGAAGATAAATACACTGGCGGAATCTGCATTTGTCTTTCCCACCAGTGTCCCAGCCTTTTGACTTCGTCTTCAAAAAAGCTGTCTACATTTGGTGTCGTTTTCACACCTCAACAGTGCTAGTATACTTTTGCACGTCCACATATGTTTATCGTCCTTTCGGGGCAGCTCCACTGTCATTGCACCTCCACACTGCTTTAAAGAATCTTCTCCAAACAACATTCAAACAAGCATAGAGAAAGACGGCATCACAGCAGCACGAAAATGATATAAAAATGCCAATGCAGATTCGGCCACTGTCTGTTTTCATTATGGTAATTCTTCCTGTGGTTAGTAATCATTACATATTAGAGCTACCATGCAATCCATGCTTAGTGGGCAACACAACCAGACATGCTTCTGAGTAAACCATGTAGGAATCAGGCTTTAGATGATGTGATAATTGGTTACCAGTTGAGTACCGGATCCGCTTCAAGGTGTTGGTAATAATCTTCAAAGCCTTATACGGCCTGGGACCAACATATCTAAGGGACCGCCTCTTCCCGTATACGCCTCAAACAGCTTTATGCTCTAGTAATCAACATCTCCTGGTGGCCCCTGGCCCAAAAGACGTCTGTCTAGCCTTAACCAGGGCCAGGGCCTTTTCAGCCCTGGCCCCCACATGGTGAAACATGCTCCCCATTGAGATCAGGGCCCTGCAGGATCTTACTCAGTTCCGCAGGGCCTGCAAGACAGAGCTGTTCCACCAGGCTTTTGGTTGAGGCAGCGGGCATCCACATCTGGCCTCCCCGAGGTTGCTGTCTCCTACCTACTGGCCACCTATCTGCCAACAACTGTCCATAACAATCAGTATTAATGGGTTGGAATTTGCACCAGCAGCTATAACTACTGATTTTAAATGTTTATAATGTAATGTTTTATTGTGTTTTAAACCTTATTGTATTATTTGAGATGATGTGACCCGCCCTGAGCCTGCTCACGGGGTGGGCGGGATACAAATACGAATAAATAAATAATGATGTGATCCCACCTACCACCATCACCACAGTTTATTTATTAATTTAAAATATTTGTATCTGCTTTTCTGACAGTGGCTATCACGTGTGCACAGCGAATATTCTTGCACATTAGTAAACCACACTTAACATGTTTTCTCTCCCTCCAGGGCCAAGGAGATAAAGAGCAAGTTGGGCACGCTCCTCCAGAAGCCCGAATCTGCTATTGACCTGATCATCCCTTACCCAGAGAAGCCGGAGAAGCCCACAAAGGCTCAGAAGTAAGAATGCAACCACTGAAATCTTTTTTTCATCCCCCTGGGGGGAGGTTTTTATTGATTTTTTTGCAGACTACAAAACTACAACAGAAAATATGGGAAAGGGAACTACATCTGGGGAAAAAGGAAAAAAGACCCACGACTAACTAAAAACCCAAGAGTAGGAGATCAATACATCAGCTTAACACCATGCTATTTTCAAAAAGCTACTAATAATACAATGGATTTAGTTGGTTTTCTAGATTAATTATCGTTTAACCATCCCTTTAACTGTTTAAAGAAATTCCCAGAGCATCCCCAAGTTATTTCAACATTTTTTCAGGCACAAATCAGAGTCCTTCAGCCCTTATTTATCCTTATCTTTTCTAATCCTCAGTTTATATGAGCTTTTGGGGGCAGCCGCCCCCTTTTCAGAGGGGGAGTCCTCGTCCGAAGACCCCGAGCCCAACTCGCCATCAGATTTGCTTTCTTTTTCCTCCCCTTTGCCCTCTTCTGGTTCCCCAAGCTGTGTCCTCAGAAATTCACGTGCTTTAAAAACAGAGTCAATCTTTTCTTTTTTATCGTTGAGCTTGAAAATGACACCTTCTGGGGTTAACCACCTGTAACTGATGCCATTTGTTTGTAAGAAAAGGATTAATTCTTTATAGCTCTTCTGTCTTATATCAAATGGAATGTCTTCTAAAATCCTGATATTATTGCCTCCAATTTTCAAGGGTGTTCCCGAATTTGCTTTCAAAATAGCATCTCTCACATGTCTCTT